GGGGAGGGGCGGGGCGAAGGGGTGCGGGCTCCGTGGCGACGCGCCTGCGGGGCTGGGGGTTGGAATGAGTGCCTAGCTGGGACTATCTTTCAGAGGCCACACTTTCATTCCTACTTCTGCCTCTAATTAGGTGTCTACCTTGGAGCCACCATATGCCCTTTCTGCCCTTCAGTTCCCTCATCTGTGATACGGAGACCTGGATTTTCTTTGAGGCTCCTATAACCCCAATTTCTATAATCAGGCTCTCAGCCCAGAGAAGAGAGGGAGCCAGCTTTTCCCGTTTTCCCTCCACCCCTTCCTGCCTTTACTGTCTTCCCCAGTTGAGGTTTCTAAATAAAAATCAAGAGATTTTTATCTCCTTCCTGCCTGTTCCAAATGGACCTTCTTGTCCCTAATCTTGAAGAAAGGGGGAGGGGGATCCTCATTGATAAAGGTGGGTGGAAGAAGGGAGGGAGGAAGGAAAGAAAGGGATCCACAGGCCAGAGACCAAGTGTAACTGGTGCTTGCTTACCCAAGGTGCCTCTCTAGTGCCTAATACCATTCCAGGCACTTGGTGAAGACAGATGATGGAGCAAAGTGTACTCTCCCCACCCCCCACCCCCAAATGAAGGCCAGTTCTTCCATGGATTCTGTGCTACACAGAGCCCTGGGTGTTTCTTCCCAATCCCCCACCCTGAGTCTTCTGCCCCAACCACGCCCCGAAGAAGAAAGGATTATATGATACACGCACTTTCGGTACCCATTGTCTGAGCTGTGCGATTTCCAATTTGTGGTTGGAGCCTCGGTTGTTCAGGGAAGCCCTCTGGGGAGTCACCAGATCCTGGACCCGCTGGGTACATCATAACACTGAAGGGCTAAGAAAAGGAAGGAGGAGAGAGTCAGTAGCTTGGCCTTCCCCCACGCATACCCTTAGCTCCAGCTGTAGCAATGCCTACCTTCAGCTGGCACCCTTTGAGATGAACCAGAGGCCTCAATCTGAAGGCTGTAATCGCGGTGTCTCCAGGGTTTGAGGCAGGAGGATGGCAAGTTTAAGACCAGTCTCAGCAATTGAGTGAGACCCTCAGCAACTTAGCGGGAACTTGTCTCAAAAAGGACTGAGGATGTAGCTTAGCTGTAAAAGCACCCCTGGGTTCAATCCTCGCCCCCAAAATAAATAAATAAAAGCAACACACAAATGTGAGCTCTTCCTAAGGAACCCCCAGGTCATGACTTCCTTTCTCCTGGCTTTAAGTAAACCCTCTGTACCCTTCTTCCATTTTTGTACCAATAGTTACCAAGAAGTCCAATTTCCAAATCAGATCTTAACTCAAAAGTACTTACCTGGAAACTATGTGTATCATTTTGTGAATTAATGGTTCTAAATGGGAGATGTTCTAAAATGCAGATTTCTAGGCCCTCCTCCTAGAGTTCTGCTTTTACATGTCTGGGATGAAGCCCTTTAAAACACTGTCATTCTGTGGTACAGTCTGGGAACTTGTGCTAAAGTAGCTAGCCTCAGCGGGGCTGCTTGATGCATAGTAGGTATACCATAGCAAGCCACCTGATGACTTGTTCCGTAAGAGTCTTCTTTTATTTTTGTTTCCTGACCCTAATCAGTTATGTTGGAAAGTGTAGAGTGACATGAGAATCACAAGCTTCGGAATTAGAGCCCAGATCCTAGTTCTGCCACATTTTACCCAGGGACCTCTCAGATAACCTAACCTCTTAAGCCTCAGTTTCGTTATTATGGCTGAACCAGGGTAGCTCTCAGTGTTCAGTGTTATGTTGTTTGAACTTGGACAGAAACCAGCACTGGCCACTGTAAACGCAGGGTCTTCTACAATCCCTGGCTGAAATAAGGCTCCTGCCCTCCAAATTGCAATGTGGCATTGCTAAGCAAACTAGTAACTGAAGATTCCAAGGACTTGGCCCAGGGAAGTGCAGCCTCAGGCTTCCTCAGTCAAAGGAAAGTTACAAATATGATCTGCACTGTCGCTAGCTTCAACAGGTCAAAAAATAATCCAGAGAGGGAGGAGCCTCTGTGTTCATCCAGGAGTGATCTGCATTCATCATTAGCATGGTTGGGAGATACAGAACCTCCCTAATGGGACAAGGGGGAGCTTTTATAGTACTTCTGAGGGATTTAAAGTGTTCTTTTAAAGAGGAATTTCCTACATACAGGAAATGTAAGCCCTTGAGGGTTCAAATTGTGCTTATGACAAAAGGTAGCTAGGAAAATTCAACAAGGTGGCTGCCTGTATTAACTTATCAGCTGGACCTGTGCAATACTCAGGAGGCTACAGAATTCTTTCAGAATTTCAGATGCTACAGACCAAAGCCTGGGGGCAGTACTGTCCAAAATAAAAATAATGCGAACCACATATGTACTTTTTATTTATTATTTATTTATTTACTGGGGATTGAACCCAAGAGTGCTTTACCACTGAGCATCATCCTCAACCCTTTTTATTTTGAGTCAGGGTCTTAGTAAGTAGCCCAGGCTGGCCTCAAACTTGTGCTCCTCCTGCCTCAGCCTCCGGAGTCGCTGGGATTACAGGCATAAGCTACCACACCTGACTCCCATCACCTTCAGAGAAGTAGAAACACGAAATATAAACTCTCTATCGGCTGAGGTTGTGTTCAGCGGTAGAGCGCTCACCTAGCATGCGCGAGGCACTGGGTTTGATTCTCAGCACCACATACAAATAAATAAAATAAGGGTCTATCAACAACTAAAAAATGTTTTAAAAAAATCTCCAATGACTTCCTTCTGCTATTCAGTTGCATTTGAGTCTGTCCCTGAAATTACTCTGCCTCTCATGATCTCCCTTTCCCTATTCCTCTTGGCATCCTGCACTCCCAGAAATGCCCTATTCCCAGACTCTACTTATCAGAGCAAGCTTCCCAGCAGGGAAACTCCTCCCTTCCCCTGGGCTCCCAGGGCACTCACCTCATAAGACATTTCAATTTCCAGTGCTGCGATAAGACCCAGGCCAGCGGTCCTATGCACCCTGGCTGTGTGGAGTACCTTCCTCCAGATTTCCTAACTCACCTTTCAATGCCTGAGACTGGATGGTGCTGTCAAGTGAAGCCCAGACCAGGACCCCCATACTCCCTGGTCCCTTCCTTCTGCTCATTAATTCTGCTTTCCTGACCTCTACACCCTTGTGGGGCCAGTCAGAGGTGAGGAGCTCCAGGACTTATATCCTCCAGATCATCCTAGGAGCTGAGCACCCACTCGGCCTTCTTGGTATTACTCTCAAGGAACCGCGAGAGATTGGGATACCAGGGGGTACTCTCGTGCTGATATAGGGTGACTCAAATTATTTATATGAACAGGAATTCTTCCAGAAATATGTGTTCAGGACCCTCCCCTAGGGATGGTCTTGTTGACTACCTCATGTCACCCTTCTCTTAAAAGGTCCCCATCTGGATCACAACCTCATCCCACCCACCAGGGTGCTTATCTTAGTGCCTTGTAACATACAAGATGCTCCGCAAGTGTTTTTCAATATGAACGTCCAAAGGAAGGAGTCACACCTCGGGGGCACGTGTTTCTTTTGATCCGTGGTTCTAACTGTGTTTTTCCTATACACATTTCTAGATTGTCATCGTTCCTCCGAGTGGCACAAAGGGATTCTCACATCCCCCAAGCCCTCCACTCACTGACCTGACGGTTGATGTGCCGAAAGTTTATCAAGAAGGAACAAATGCGCCTCCAGATTCTCTTGACAGCAAACTGCAAGTGAACTTCAACTCCAGGGCATGTGAAAACCGCTGAGCCCCGGGCTGGTGGTTGCCTGGTCTCAAGTTAGGCAGCCCAGGGGTTGGGGATGAACAGTGCTTTGGCTGCAACAAACTGTAGTGATAGAACATATGTTTCTCGTGCTTTGCTTTTGATCTTCTGCTCCGAGGTCGAGGATGCTCTCCCAAGGGGGAAAGAAAAAAGGAAGAGGAACCGAGTGGGAGAAAACTGACTTCACCCATCACTGAAATACTTTGTACCCGAAGCACAGTCACCCTGAGAGAAGAACATGGTGGCAGCTCTTCACGGTCACCTGATTAAGAGCCTTGAGTTTGGTCCTGACTCAGAGGGAAACACACCGCCACTGAGAGGCCCCCCCACAGCACCCAAGCACTCACAGCCAAGCCTGGGCTTGGCCCCAGCGGACATATGAGAAAAAGATGACCTCTAGAGCCACCAGGCGGGCGGGAATCCTGCTGTTGCCAGGTCCTCCTTACGTGGATCACAATTACTGCATGAGGTCATGGAATGTTGAAGATGAAATGAAAGGTGGCTCCTAAGTCACAAAGTTGCAGGCGGGTGGGCGTCCTTTCCACAGGGCTCTCAGGAACAAAGCTGATGAGCAGGGGGAGTTGCTACCTCTCCCACACAGAGATGGGATCACACCCATGCATGTCCAAATCCTCCCAAAGCCCGCTCTCCCCGCTCTCCCCGATGCTTGCTGGGTTGGAAGGGTAACTGTAGGCCCCCCCACCCCAGGGTTTGCCTATGCAAAGGCAGGAGGCCCAGTTTGACACAGAGGTGAATGGACAGGTGCACTTCTTAGTGAAGCAGCGAAGAGGTGGCCAGAAGCTGGCAGCAGCCCTCAAGAGAGTCTTAGCAGCATGGACGATGATGAGGAGCCTCTCGAGTCCAATTCAAAAGGTGACACTCAGTGATCACAGGGACCTCAGAGCCCTCTCCCCTCTCTCTGCCTGGTTCCCCCCAGAATTGGCAGGATGCACTACACTGACTTGGGTTCAGGGCTTGGCAAAGAGTGAGATGGTTAGATGCTGTTCTGGGACTGCCTCATGCTAGCACAGGCCAAATTAATTTTCATTTTGTGGGCTGGTGGACGTCACCTTAATCGTTAGAAATCAGCTGTGCTGGGAATATTGACACCCCATGAATTGGCTAACACTGTAAATCAGGATATTTCTTTTTCTGGGAGAGCCTGTTGTTCAATATTTACGGGCATCCCACTGGTCCACTGGAATCCTAAAGTTGTTAGACTGATGAGCGTCGTGAGACTCAGAAACATATCGCATCTCTTTTCTCAGGGCTACAGTTGGACAGCTCAGCTGCTCTGTGTGTCTCAACCACCAGGCCACTGCTACTTGCACCCCATTTCACACAGGCCTTGTCACAGGTTGGGGGCCAGTCTTTGGGCCAGGACTAAAAAAGACACAAGCCTATGCAGGATCGTTAGGATCCCCAGCGTCCTAGAATCTGAGTGGTCAAAAGGTGGCACTCCGACACACGTGCTCAGCCACCCAGAGAGTAGACTGGCTGAGTTCTCCTGGGCAGTGTGGAGGGACAGCACAGCTTCCTAAACCCCAGAGCCCTGCAGATGCTGGAGGATTGAGCTCCATCCCTACAGTGGGCCCCAGATCAGGGGCCCAGTGGAAAGCCGTAGCAAGGCTGTGGGGGCCTGTGAGGGAGGCTCAGCTTTCCCCCAGCATCTCATCAACCCAAGGTGCATGTGTTCAATCACAGTGATGGATTTCAGCCCAAGGGAGAGTTTCAAGCCCCTTTTTCCTGGTCATAGGTACAATGTTGGGCTGGAAGGAGAAGAAGAGGGATCACAACTTGAGTCGAGTGTTCTCTCTTGCTCCCCCAAACTGCCCCTTGATCTTTTACTTTGTATTTGTCCCAAATCACCACCTACCATGCTCCTTCCCCCCAGCCCCTGCCCCCCCCCAACCATCTGCACCTGAAGGTGGGGAAGTCTGGACTCCAGGACACACCCTTTCAATCGGAAGAGGAACAGCAGACCCCAAAACCCACCCAAGCTAATGCGATGGGAAAAGTGAACTGGAGCCCACCTCTAAGACACGAGCCCAGAGACTGGGCTGTGTCTAGAAAGGAGGGCTTGTGGGACAGTCACCCTGGCAGGGCTGGCAGAGGAGGTGACAGAGACAAGGAGAGTCAGTGGCAGGCACCCTGACAGGCCAGCAGGCTTCCTTCCCTGAACCTAGCAGGTGGCTCTGTCTTCCAGATGAGGACGACACGGAGTTAACACCCAAGGGCAGCGATGACGCACTCTACTGTGAGGCCGAAGCCATCGGGACTGTGGAGAAAGAGAAACCCCCCAAGGAGGATTCGGAAACAGACTTGGAGATCGAAGGTGACATGGTGGGGGGGTGGCTGGTTCTGGGCCCCCTGGGCCCCTGGAGGAAACCCATCCACCCAGTGGGAGGTCCTGCAGGGGATGTCTGGAAACTCGGTTCTCCTCTAAGCTGGTTGGGGACAATGGCTGCCACAGCCCCGAGGCTTCCACACGAGCACACATCAGCTTGTTGAAAGCTGAACCAGCACACAAACAGGGGTTCCTGGTCTTAAATGTTTCCCTCGGTGGCATCTCATGTGATGTTCCTGTAGTCGCAGAAGAGAGACATTAGTACTCACCTTTAGCCCTACTCGAGGGCCCCATGTGCGCCTTCAGCAAGTCTAAGCTGAAGTCATCAACCCAAGGTGCAGGTCTTCCTGGGTTTCAGGGCTGGCTGGGCGGGAGCAAAGACCTTTACTACAAACAACACCTCCACCCTCTTTTGCAGATTTCCCAGGCTGAGGCTAGCCCGACTCACCCCGGTGGGCAGTGGTCACAGTCTGCAGAGGCGGAGGGAAGGCTACTCAGCCATTAAAATTAAACTGTGCTGCTTATTTGCACAGTCAGCTTAGAACCCCTCCCCTCTGTCAGTCAGCAGACAGCGTCTACCCAGACCTCCTCTCTGCTGCCCCCAGCATCTCGTTGTTCTCTGTCTTCTTGTCCACCCAGAGGCTCTCACTAACACTGCTTCCAACATGGGATTTTGCAAACCTGGATGCTTTGCCAAGATCCCTGCTTCTGCGTCCTTCCCCGCCCCACCTGCTGCTCCCCACACCCGAAGCAAATGACGGTGCCGTTCCAAGCTGCTTCTTAAAATATGACAGCCAGAAAGGGTCGCCATCCAGGGTAAGGCAGAGCTAGTCCCAAAGACAAAACAGGAGGTTACCTTCCCTCTGGCCAACAAGAACTTCTAATGGCTGGATTTGGCACGGACAACTCTGTCCTGAGCAGAAACTCAGGGCTGAGCTGCTCTGGCTCCCGGGCACCTGCTGCAGGTGCTGAGGTGCTGAGGAAGGGCTGGAAGGACTTCCTGGGGAGTCTAGAGAAGAAGGGTTGGCCAGACTGTGGGCTCTTTCCCATGTAACAGTGGTTCTCCCCTGGATAACTGCACACCTCAGGGGACACTTGGGGTGGAGGCACCCTGTGGGTACAGGCCAAAGAATCCTACTGGATATCCTGCAGTACGGTCCCCCACCACAGAGCAGGACCTGAGTCAAAATACCAGAGACACGGAGGGTGAGAAACCTCGCCCAGTGAGCATTCTAAGGAGAGGGTCGGTCTGGAGCTGTGCTTGCAAAAACAGCTTCCCTCTGAATCGCCCTTTCACCCTCCGATCTCTCACTGTCTACCTTAGAAACTCGTGGTGTGGGTTGGCCAAAGGCCTGGGATCCGAATAGACAGCACACGAGTGTAGATGTCAGCTGGCCCTGGGAAGCCCTGCCGCCCACTGGACTTGCCTAAAGAGGACCCAGCCCTGGGGTCCCCAGGCCAGGCTGGAATGGTCCTAAAGCCTAAGGGTGGCAGTGGAGAGGTGGAACCCCTGCTTCTCTTTGCGGGTTTTTGGTTTTGTTTTTTGGTACTTACCGGCTGGACATTTAGGGGCTGGATTTGTCCCTGGAGAAGCAGGGATGACCAGCGGCTGTAAGGCCACCCAGATGCAGGTCTTTCTGTTTCTCACCATTTTGGAGGTCTCTCCCCCTTGAACTGATCGGCCATCTCGAGGTGACACAGAGTCTACTTCTCTGAGCCTTCTTCATGGCTCACGTTTTAATGGTGGCAGGGAAACTAAAATTGAAATGGAGACCCCTCCCCTCAACCATCAAAAGTCCCCAGCTCTGTGCCTTTTGTTTTCCCCTTCAGGGTTGTCCCAGGGTGGCAGGAGGGCTGGGCCTCTATATCTTCCTGGCGATTGGTCTCGGGATGCCTCCAGCCTGGGAAGGTGGGGTGGGGTACGCCGCTCATCTCTCCCAGGAAAGCCCAGGGCTGACACCCCGGCCCCTTCTCCTACACATCCATCTGGGGCAACCTGGAATTCGTGTCTGCCCCTCCCACCACTGGCTGACTTTGGGGTTGGAGTTGACTTCTGGAGCGCACACCCACAGGGGTGGATCCCTGGCAGAGCACAGCCCGGTCCGAAGCAAACCCTGCCCAAGGCCAGAGGGCAGAGAAGTCAAGCCCTATTGAGTCTTGTCTTTCTCCGCAGACACCGAGAAGTTCTTTACAATTGGACCAAAGGAGCTGTACCTGGAGGCCTGCAAACTGGTGGGTGTAGTGCCTGTCTCCTACTTCATCCGGAACATGGAGGAGCCTCACATGAACCTCAACTACCATGGGCTGGGCCCCAGGGGCACCAAGGCTATCGCTATAGCTATGGTGGTGAGCATGGCAAGGGGGACGTGGAACCAGGCGGAGGAGGAGGGTGGACAAGGTGGCAGGCCCAAGATCCAGAGGGCTCCTCCCTTGACCTTGAGGGACACCTGTCCTGGTCTCTGCTCCTCTGCCAGTTTCCCTGTCAACGTGTGGACTTCCCTTTAGCTCAGGAAGGACGTTTCTAGATACCTAGACCTTGAAGTCTGTGCTCTTTCACATTCAGGAAGCAAAGCACCAGCCCGTGGGACAAGGAAAAGGAGCTGGGCTGGAATTGGGCCCCAGAGTCAAGGCCAGA